TTTAAAGTTAATCTCTTATTGCCCTACCCGCTTATGCTGTGTTCCTACTACACTGGCCTTCTTGCTATTAGGCAATCTCATTGCAAGGCTATTTCCTGTTTTTTGTTTTGTTTTGTTTTATTTTGTTTTGTTTTGGTCTTTGTTTTTTAGACAGGGTCTTGCTCTGTCACCCAGGCTGGAGTGCAGTGGTGTGATTTTGGCTCACTGCAACCTCCGCCGCCTGGGCTCAAGCTATCCTCCCACTGGCATGCACTACCACACTCAGCTAACTTTTTAAGGTGATTTTGGAGAGGCAAGGTCTCACTATATTTCCCAAGCTGGTCTTGAATTCTGGGTTCAAGCAGTCCTCCTGCTTCAGCCTCCCAATGTGCTGGGATTACAGGTGTAAGCCACAGCGCCCAGCCTATTTCCCACATTTTATTCTGGTCTCTGTTCAGAAAGGCCTTTCTTGGCCACACTTCTAAAATAGCATACATACAAACTCCATCCCTACCCCTTCTTTGTCCTCTTACCCTGTTTTCCTTTTCTTCATCATACCACTACTTGCATTTGATTACATATTTGTTTGCTCATTGAGATTTATTGCTCATTTATTTACTTCCCTGAGAACCCCATTAGAACAGGGTCATATCTGTCTTCTCTGCTGTGTCTCCAGCTCCTAGAATGGTACTCAGCACATAATGAGTGCTCAATAAGTACTTATTGAATGAATGAGTAAATGAATCTTCACAGGGACAACAGATGAAATCCCAAGGATAGCAGATAACATTAAGAGAAAAGAGGGCAAAGGGCAAATCTTTGGAGAAATATTTAAATTGAGGGCAAAAGAGGCACTCTAAAGGAAGTGAAATCTCAACTCCAGTTAACTAGGCATGGAAAGAACAGTGTGCATTTGGGAACTCAATAAGGAAGAAGGCGTCAAGCTGGGCTCATTTCTGTGCCCTAACTATAGGAATGTTTTTAAAGAGCAAACCTGAGCACAGGTCAAAAACCTGGACAATGAAAAATCAATCTCTCAGCCCAAGAAGGCACTGTCCCCTGTTATCTTGGGGGCAGTCATTTAAAGAAAGCTCAAACCAGGATCCTGAGGCCAGCGCTGCCTGGGGCACCAGCGCTTCTGAACTGGGACAAAGCAGCAGCCCTGGGGCACCCTGGGAATCCCTGTAGGCTGCTTGGGGCTCTTCTTCAGAAGTCAAGGCGTGATTCTTAAGAAAACAGTCCAATGCTAGAGGGTGACCCCTTTTATTAGGTTCATCATCTGAGCCACAGAGAGACCATAGTGTTTGTCCATAGCCTGAAATACTCAAAGGCCACAGTGCTGAAAAGAGGCCAAGGCTTGAGGCCTCTTTGTCGCCATTAATCCTCATCCTGCTGGTCTGTCCCTTTTGCATCAGAAAAGCTTTCTCATATCTTTTTTAAAGAAGGAGAGAAAACAGCTGTGTGGGATTTGAGAATGAGATTTTAATGGTCACTGAAGGCAGACAAAAGCTTTGCTGTGATAGTGAATTGTTCTGGGGGCAATTGACTCCTTTGTCCTGGGCAGCAAAACAAGCTGGCTGCTGAAGGAGAAGAGAGAAGCCACTGGAACATGTGATTGAGGTCTCCACAGGCCAGATTCTCAGCACATTTGCAAAGAGCTGTTTTCAAGCATCCCTTCATGATATTTCAGAGTCACCTTTTAGTGTTTAGCTCATTTTTACCTTGTGAAAGAATCAAATATATCTGGGAGGTGCTTGGCATGAATTATTTCTGCAGGCCTTTGTCTCTGGAAGGAAAATGGAAATTGTGACTGACAATATGAGTTTGTTTATGTGAAGCAGGCCTTTCATTGTGAGGAAAAAGAACTGGTGCCCTCTTTTCCACAGGGCAGCCTGAAGGGTTTCTCAGCCCTTCGAGCAGTTAAGAAATGGCACAGAGGTGGGATATTGTGAGGTCTCTCTAAAGGTCATCTTGCAAAGGCTGTGGAGGTTGAAAGAGTTCTCAGGAGCAAGGGACAGCAGAGCAGGAGGAGCCTGTCCTGGTCCCCAGCTCAGTGAGAACCAGGCCTGGTGGTGTCCACCTGCCGAGGGCATCTGTTTTCTGCCAGAGGAACCATGATGGAACAGACCATGGTGATGTGACTCTAAGTTATGATTAACGGGGCTGTTGGAATCATTGTCACCATATGGGCACTTTCCCTTCCATGGATGAGTATTATAAAAACAGCTCTTCTTCAAATAGAAATGGCTGAGCAGAGGGGCTCTGGACAGCCTTGGTTTTACCTGCTTTCTGCCAGTCTTCATGACAGGCAGGCTCCTTGAAGACAGAGCCATGAAGGAGTTATTCTCTGATTCACTGGCCCACTACAGACACTGAAAGAGTCAAGTGGGACACAGGGTAAAACGTGAATTCCTAGTACAGAATTCAGCCCAGCTTTACATGAGAGATGGGCTGGAACCAGAGTGATATGGAAACCATTATCCAGTAGGGCTGCATTTAGAGAAGAAGTCTGGAATTATACTCTGTTTGCCATCAATCTCATTATAATATTGTTTGCCAATAAAACAAGAATTTGGTTCACTTTTAATTTTTTAAAAATATAAAATTGTGGTCAGCCGTGGTGGCTAATGCCTATAATCCCAACACTTTGAGAGGCTGAGGCAGGTGGATCACCTGAAGTCAGGAGTTCGAGACCAGCCAGGCTGGCATGGTGAAACCCTGTTTCTATGAAAAATACAAAAAACTAGCCAGGCATGGTGGTGTGCACCTGTAATCCCAGCTTCTCAGGAAGCTGAGGTAGGAGAATCGCTGGAACCCGGGAGGCGGAGGTTGCAATGAGCCAAGATCATGCCATTGAACTCCAGCTTGGGCAACAAGAGCAAAACTCCATATCAAAAAATATATATATAAAAAATTGTATTTAAATGATACATGAATATTGTAAAAGAAAATCCAAGAAATATGAGTTTAAGATTTAGATATTAGGATAGACTTTATTGATTGGTTACATTGAATTGTAGAAATAATATTTAAAATGTGGCATATTTTAGCTTACCATGATCCAAAAGCCTGATTTTTTTTAAGATTATGGAATGAATAATGAAAAGACACTTTTATTTCTTACAACAGAGACCTTTGCTATGTTTAACCCTAAGAGTATATATACAAATTACATTTGTAGAATAGGATGAAAAGTGATTTCCCTCGTTATAGACACTGGAGAGCTATAATAGTTAACTTTATCATGTAATTTTTTTCTATTTCTTGGCAGCTTACATATAGAGAATGTTTGTTCCAGTCAAACTCTCCTAGCCCCATAGAAAATCCTTGATAAAGTCTTCAACTGCACTTACATCTGCCCTTTTGTTAAATAACTTTTTTCCCTTTTAAACTCGAAGCTCTTGATCTTACAGTACCATAGGAGTATTTCACAAATTAGCTGTGGGACTTTGGCCAAATTATTAACCTCCCTAAGTCTCTGTTTCTGTAAAATGGTGCCAATAATAGCACCTAAATCCTTAGGGCTATGTTGAGGAATAAATGAGATACTATATGTAGAGCTTTTGGCATGGTGTCTGATATAAGTACTCAACAAATGTTAGTCATTAGAAATGCTACTTTGATGACTCTGTTGATGATGTTTGAATAGTAGGGAGCCAAATTTGGTAAGTTTGCTTCATATTCATAGCCTAAAATAAGGTACAAATCTACGTTTAACAGTACTAGAAATAGAATCAGAAGCAACGTTTATGAATTTCCTTATTTACCAGCGTTTACGCTTTGTTGTATTGATTTCTTTTTTCTTTGAGACAGAGTCTCACTCTGTCACCCAGGCTGGAGTGCAGTGGCACCATCTCGGCCCACTGCAACCTCTACAATTGCAGAGTTCAAGCAATTCTCCTGCCTTGCTTCCCAAATAGCTGGGATTACAGGTGTGCGCCACCACACCCAGCTAATTTTTCTGCTTTTGTTTTGTTTTGTTTTTAGTAGAGACGGGATTTCTCCATGTTGGCCAAGCTGGTCTGGAACTCCTGACCTCAGGTGATCCACCCACCTCAGCCTTCTAAAGTGCTGGGATCATAGGTGTGAGCCACTGCTCACAGCCCATTGTATTATTTATTAGGAACCTGAAGTGTGCTATTTTATAAGAGTCTTGAGATCACTACCCATCCCAGCTGGCCACCAGAGAATGAGCTTTTCAAAACACAGCTTCTGGTCATCTTCCTCTCCTTTCTTTTCTTTTTTCTTTTTTAGAGAAGGGGTCTCATTCTCACTATGTTGCCAAGGCTGGACTCAAATTCTTAGGCTCAGGAGATTCCATCTTAGCCTCCCCAGTAGCTAAGACCACAGGCACAAAACACCATACCTGGCTCCTGTCCTTTCAATGATTCCTTTACCTGTGAGAATAAAATCCAAATGCCTGGCACTCAAGAACTTTTGAAGTCTGTTCCCAACCTTTTCTTTCCTCTCCTCCTGATTTAATGAATGAACTTTTAGAACCTGCCCCCTTTCCCACCTGTGAAGATCCTATTCATCCTTCAAGGCCTGATACAAATGTGACCTCCTCTAGGACACCTTTCAGGATGCCACCAAGCAGAATTAATAACACTCTGTTCTTCCAGGACTAGACCTATGTTCAGTGAATGATTTTCATCTCTATGATTGTTCCTAATTGTTCCAACAGCCCTGTGAAGTAGGGAGATCCAGGATTTTTAAAAATCTCTCTTCGACCATCAAGTGCTTATGCTACAAAAATAATTAGAACCCCTGTGATCCCTGTTCTCAAGGAGCTCATGGTCTGGGGAGAGACAGACCTGTAAACCTCTCTTACAGGGCAATAAATATCATGCTGTGCAGAGGTGTGCAGAGAGAACTGAGGCTGGGCACACTGTGTATTCAGGGAGTTTGCATGCGGTGGGTGGTGTGGTCAGTGCCATCTGTTTGCCTTCATCTCTAGAACTCACATCATCCTTCCTTGGCCTTTGTGTTCACACTGACCAGATTGTTTCCCTTTTGGCTAGTCAGTTGCAGGGCTGGGACCTATTATGATGGAGCACAAGAACGCTGCATTTTATGTCCAAACGGAACCTTCCAAAATGAGGAAGGACAAATTACTTGTGAACCATGCCCAAGACCAGGAAATTCTGGGGCCCTGAAGACCCCAGAATCTTGGAATGTGTCTGAATGTGGAGGTAAGGATGTTGTCTGTTCCTTCCTACTCCTGCCATCTCTGATGTCATTGTTTAGACAGAAGGCATCTCAAGGACTCCAGACAATGCACACTCACCTGGGGCTTCCTACAAGTAGGGACCATGTTGGCTCATCTTTGGCTCACCAGTGCCTAGGTCAGTGCCTGATACATGCTGGGCAGATACTCATTCGAGCAAATAAATGAAGATGGGGTAGAATACACTAGCAGAAGAGTGTAAGTGTTGCAACTGCACGCTTTATTCACTGGAAATATATACACCTGAATCCTGAGTGATTTCCCTGTCTATAGGTACTGTTTTGAAAGTGTTAAAATGAAGAGAGGAGGTCTGGGGTTTTCTCTAGCTTTGGTCTCAAATTCATAGCTTTTTTATTTAAAACAAATATATCCATTTATTTTGTTAAAACTGGAACCTCCTCTGTGAAGAGCTTTTAATTATCTCTTACAAAATGTTAACTTTGAAGTCAATCTCAAGCTCTGTGGGCTTTCCTATTTGTTTTATTATTAAATGTCTTCCTTTTATTAAATGGGAGAAGGGCTGGCTGTATTGACACTCTGTGGGTTCCAGTGGCAAGTGTGATCTGAATGGTGATTTGTATCTGATGGCCACGACAGAGTGAAGACCCCCTGTGCTGCTCCCACAGCTGTCCTTGGAGTGACTCCCAGCCTCAGCTTTATTTCCCACCTAAGTAACTCCAGACTCAACTGCAAAGCTGTTTCTTGCTTAAAAATCAAATCCTCATATTGACTGTGTGACTCCTATCATATCTTTGGCCTGTTATAAAACTCCAAAACTAACTGCAAGGTTGATAAGGGGGGACATTTCAGCATGTACTTACCCTTTTATGTGACATTATTATTATTATATTTTCTTGAGATAGAGTCTCTGTCACCAAGGCTGGAGTGCTGTGGTGCGATCTTGGCTCAACGCAACCTCCACCTCCTGGGTTCAAGTGATTCTCGTGCCTCAGTCTCCCAAGAAGCTAGGATTACAGGTGCATGCCACCACGCCCTGCTAATTTTTGTATTTTCAGCAGAGATGGGGTTTTGCCATGTGGGCCAGGCTGGTCTCAAACTCCTGACCTCAGGTGATCCACCCGCCTCGGCCTCCCAAAGTGTTGGGATTACAGGTGTGAGCCACTGCACCCAGCCTATGTGACCTTATTAAGAAAAATTTAGGCTAGGCATGGTGGCTCATACCTGTAACCCTAGTACTTTGGGTTCAGGATCACTTGAGCTCAGGTGGCTAACCCTAACCCTAAAGACCAGCCTGGGCAACATAGTGAGACCTCGTTTGTAGAAAAAATTAAAAAAAAAAAATTAGCTGGGCGTGGTGGCACATGGTAATCCCAGCTACTTAGGTGGCTGAGGCGCAGGGATAGTTATTAAGCCCAGGAGGTCAAGCTGCAGTAAGCTGTGATTGTGCCACTGCACCCCAGCTTAGGCAACAGAGATCTTGTCTCAAAAAAAAAAAAAAAAATTGACAGCAATAAGAATATTAGTAATAATGGTTATTATAGCTAGCATGTATTGAATATTCACCTATGCCAGGCATTATGCTAAGTATATTATATGATTTATTCATAATTTATATAATCATTACAACTCCACGAGGCTAAAGTGACTCTTTTAAGGTCACACAGCCAAGTGGAGAATGTGGAATCAGAACCCAGGTCTGACACGCTCCAGGCTCCTCCCAAGGGTGTGTGCTCTTGAAATACTATCATATCTATAACTTATGGGGGAAAATAAGACCACTATGATTAATGGAGGGAGATGATTAAGAATATAAGAGATAGCAGACTTTGATAGCATCTTGCCAATGACTAATTCCTGAGGAACATGTGCTTTTAGAAATCCTTTTGTTTGTTTATGGTTGTGTTTCTTGTCCCAGGTGTAACATGTGTAAGATCTAACTTAGTAAATATTATTGTTAAAAGAGGGGAGACTCTTTGGGTCACTTTTTTTTTTTTTGAGACAAGGTTGTGCTGAATCACCCAGGCTGGAGTGCCGTGGTGCAAATATGGCTCACTGCAGCCTGGAACTCCTGGGCTCAAGTGATCCTCCTGACTCAGTCCCAGAGTAGATGGGACTACAGACATGTGCCTCTATGTCTGGCTAATTTTTAAATGTTTTGTAGAGAGGGGATTTCGCCATGTTGCCTAGGCTTGTCTTGAGCTCCTAGGCTCAAGTGATTCTCCTGCCTCAGCCTCCCGAAGTGTTGAGATTACAGGCATGAGCCATCAAGCCCAGTCCGGATCACTCTTTATATCACTAGGATGTAATCAGCTAGGTAAAGGGGTACTTCTAGATCTAATTACCAAATTGGTTCCAGGGCAGAGAACTCTCTCTCCTGCCTTGCAGGGGATGCCTAGGCAGTGTGTAGACCTAAGCCTGAGAACTCCCCAGGCCTTCCTATACTTTGGAAGCAGTTGACATTTGACTTACTGGTTTCCATCTTTGCACTGTGCTGTGTAGCCCTGTGTGTAAACAGCAGGCACTCATGTGCCATTGACTAAGGGTCAGAAGCACCGCAGCATTGACTGTGTGCTGTCTGACTGAGGTGGGAACTGCAGTCAGCACGGGGTGACGGGTTGGACTGAAGTTGATCTCATCTGGAGAGTTGGGGGCAAGGGTCTGCCTGGGGGGCCTTCCTAATGTAAGGCTATTGGTCCTTCCAGGTCTGTGTCAACCTGGTGAATATTCTGCAGATGGCTTTGCACCTTGCCAGCTCTGTGCCCTAGGCACGTTCCAGCCTGAAGCTGGCCGAACTTCCTGCTTCCCCTGTGGAGGAGGCCTTCCCACCAAACATCAGGGAGCTACTTCCTTTCAGGACTGTGAAACCAGAGGTGAGCACTTGGCAGCTTGCCTTTTTCTAGGACCGGATTTCCCTTCTAAGTATCATGGGAGTCTGGTGAGGCTCCAGTCAAGCCCAGCCTGATGCAGTGCCCCAGTGGCTGGGGGTCCCAGCTCCACTTGCCCCTGCAGGATGTGCAGGGGGCACAGGAACTCACTGGACAAGCTGTCCTCCAGCCACCTTAGCCCCTTTGGACAGGCTGACAACGGATGATCAGGCACTGATGAGCCAGTTGGTACAAAGGTTCCCCTGGTTCCTTCCTCTAGCCCTCCTCCATCTCAGTGCCCTGACCTAGAGCATCCCCCCAATATCCCTTCTCCAGAACCCCACTCCAGCTGCCTTTTCCCAGGGAGCCCAACTCTAAACCCAACTCAGTTCTGCAACCGCCTGCCCCCATACTCACAGATATGCTCTGCATGAAGACTGGAGTTATGAACATTGATCATTGATGCCTGACTCTCCAGAAACTCTTTGGAGATACACACATATCTTGTCCCTCTGGATTTCTGTTTCATGAGCCCCATCCAAACTGCCTATTTAGGGATTAAGTGTTGATTAGCCCCAGATTGGTAGGAAAGCCCTACTTCATTTGCATATAACCATTTCTTTCACAAACTTTAAAATCTTTGTGCTGCATTTGATTAAAATAATCTTTCCTTTTTTCATTCTTTTCACCCTCCCTTGGCCCACAGTTCAATGTTCACCTGGACATTTCTACAACACCACCACTCACCGATGTATTCGTTGCCCAGCGGGAACATACCAGCCTGAATTTGGAAAAGATAATTGTGTTTCTTGCCCAGGAAATACTACGACTGACTTTGATGGCTCCACAAACATAACCCAGTGTAAAAGTAAGTCTCTCTCTCTAAGGCTTTTCACAGTTCTGGCTAAGAAGATATGTGTCTGGGTCCAACTCAGAGCAGGGGGCATGGGGCAGAGGTCCCAGGTTCACTCAGAACCACATAGATATTATGAGTCCAGCTCACAGCCATGCAGACCAGCGTGGAGAGAGAGCAGGGCCTGACTGTACAGAGCGACTCATCTTTATTGATCCTGGCTACTTCCTCAGGCACACTTACAAGCTGTACTTGCCTTAATTTCCTTCCTGGGGCATAATTTCAGCCCACCCTTGCTCAGCATGCATTGCCTGAGGACCTGTTACATGCCCAGCATTGTGCCAGGACTTGGTTGATATCAAGCAGAATAAATCAGCATCGCTGACCCTGCAGGGAGCTCAGGCAGTGAGAATGCAGAGGAAGGAGCAATTGACTCTGTCTCGAGAGATAATGAAAGGCTTCTGGAGGGTGTGAGAAGGTTTTGATGGAGACGATGGGGAAAGAGCAGGAGAAAGAGCCTTATGTTTGAGAGAGCAGCTGAGGGAAGCACAGATGGAGGAAAGCAAAAGGCCTTGTGGGAGGAGACCCTTGGATCTCAGGCTAGAATGTGCTGAAGGGAGTCTCAGGCAGACCAGGAGGCAAAGCCTCGGATAGATGCTGAGGAGACCGGTTAGTGTTTTATAGGAAGGGGGAAGCAAATCATTTAAGGACTTGCTGTCTAGGCTTTTTTTTTTTAAGCCATCATTTATAACCAAAATTACAACAAAAACTCTCTAGTAAAGGCCAAAAGTAAATCCCAGCTAATCTTTAAGACAGCAATCAGAGAAGCAAAGAGGCCCCCGCTAAACCAGAGGAGCTTGGGACTGAGGGGGGCAGTAAATCATTCGAACTTTATGATTGAAAGGTCACCTGGTTTTCTATTGCAAGGAAGTCCTTTTAACAACATCTTTATAAGTAGCCTTCCATCTAGTCTCTTCTTGAATACCTGCTATGACAGGAAGCTCGCTACCTCATGATATCCTAGCTTGTTGGTGGATTGGACTTTGGAAAGCTCACAGTGTTAGAACAAGATGAATGTTCCCTTGTCTTCCACCACCTGGCCCTTGGTTGGCCCCATGGGAGTCTTATGGCACAGTTCCTAGGGCAGCCCTTCAGGACTGAAGGCAATTCTCTGCCCCATGGCTCCCCCTTCCTCCTCTTTTCTTCCAAGAAGAAAAGCCTGTTTGTTTTTTTTCTAGTAATAATAAATCCCAGTTGTAACTAGAGATGGAAAAAGTAATCCCTTCAACATCTTCTCTTGCACAGATTTACCTGACAGTATTAAATAATGAGCTCCTTGAGAGTAAAGACTGTGTCTCTCTCATTTCTGAGCTCTCAGAGCTTTGGGTGACATTTCTGGGATAGCGGGATTAGATGAATGAAGATGCAGCGGGGTGCTGTGGGTGAGGGAGGGGTCTGTGCATGCATGTACAGCCTCTGCCTTTGGTGCCAGACATAAGTATCCAGCATGCCCTGTACCTACTGATAGCTAATTAGAATTTTCTTCCTTCCTTAAAAATAAAAAGTGGGTTGGGTACAGTGGCTCATGCCTGTAGTCCTAGCACTTTGGGAGGACAAGGCTGGGATAGCTTGAGCCTATGTGTTCAAGACCAGACTGGGCAACATAGACCTTGTCTCTACAAAAAAATGAAGAAAAAAAAATTAGCCAGGCATGATGGTACTTGCATATGGTCCCAGCTTCTTGGGAGGCTTGAGCCCAGGAGGTCAGGGGCACAGTGAGCCATGACCACACCACTGTACTCCAGCCTGGGCAACAGAGAGAGACCTCATCTCAAAAATAATAATTTTTTTTTTAAATTAGAGGTGAATAAAAAATAAGATATGATCTTAACCAGAGAGAAAAGTGAAAAATGTATGTCTGTCTTCATCAAAGTTCTCTGAAAAAGCGTCAGATAGTCTCCACAGAGCAATGAGCTCTGTTCCCCCTAGTTTGAGAGACCTAGAAGTTCTGTCTCATGGGTTCCTCTGACACTTGGACTTGGTAAATAAAATACTGAAAGCTAAATTTATCCTTTTGTTCACAAATACCTGCCCTGACCGTGAACGCTTTCAGGCTAATGAGAAAACGGTGCCTCGGGAACTCAGAGGGGTAGACTCCTTGTGGGGAGTTTAATGGTTTGGCTCCCACAGGGGGCCCTGAGGGTTACAGGACAGACTCATTCCCAGATGGTGTCATTTTCATGCCCCATTCCTGGGTGGCAACAGGGATGCTGCAGGGCTCAGCAAGCTAGCGGTGGTCAGGACAGAGACGACAGTGTCGTGCCATAATTCAGGGCATCTCCTTTTCCAGACAGAAGATGTGGAGGGGAGCTGGGAGATTTCACTGGATACATTGAATCCCCAAACTACCCAGGCAATTACCCAGCCAACACCGAGTGTACGTGGACCATCAACCCACCCCCCAAGCGCCGCATCCTGATCGTGGTTCCTGAGATCTTCCTGCCCATAGAGGACGACTGTGGAGACTATCTGGTGATGCGGAAAACCTGTGCGTCTCACTCCCTGCCTCCCTCCCTTTCTCAGGCCAGCTGGGAAGCCTAATGACCTGCTCCCCAGGCTTTCAATGTGAGGAGCAGGCCTAGAACGTCACCTCCATATTAGAGCAGAGGTGAACGTGAGTTTATAGAGTTGGTGAGAAACAAAATTTAAATGAAAGCCACACACTGAAATGTCTTGCTGGACCCCAGAGGTAGTGACCCTGCAGGTCAGTCTTCCCCTCGGTGCTCACTGGGGTGTTTTGGACCCTCTTCCACAAGGACCCAGAGAGCCAGTGAGGAGCATGCAGTATTGGCCCCAGACAAGGCCTCATACTGAGTTGCAATTGATGGCTTGGGGACTGACTGAGCCTGGCCAGGTGGGGACCTGTCCTCCTATCCTGATTCATGGTCCAGTGTCCATAAAGGAAGACTGCTATCAACACGGCTTACGGGCAGTGTAATGAGGGGCTCTGCAGCCAGACTGCCTGGATCTCTGTCCCAGTTCCACCTCTTATTAGTTCTATGATCTCGGGCACACATTCTGAATCTTTCTGCACTTCAGTCTTCTCATGTGTTAAAAAATGGGGCTAATAACAGTTGCTACCTTATAGGGTTATTATAAGGACTAAAGGAGTTCATAGTTGTGAAACACTTAGAGTAATAGGCCAGGCACAGTGGCTCACACCTGTAATCCCAGGCTGAGGGAGGAGGCCGAGGCAGGAGAATCGCTTGAGCCTAGGAGTTTGTGACCAGCCTAGGTGAGACCCTGTCTCTATAAAAAATTTTTTTAAAAATTAGCTGGGCATGATGGTGCACGCCTGTGGTCCCAGCTGCTCGGGAGTCTGAGGTGGGTGAATCGTTTAAGACCGGGAGGTGGAGGATGCAGTGAGCCGTGATCGTGCCACTTTACTCCAGCCTGGTTGACAGAGCCAGACCTTGTCTCAAAAAAGAAACAAACAAACAAAAAGAATGATGATGACACATGAAGCCACTATATCGTTTGCTCTCCTTATTAGTGGTTAAAATGTCTGAAGTTAAGTATAGATTTAAATCCTTGTTTTACCACATACTGGCTATATGACCCTGGGCAAGTATGTAATCTCTCTATTAAAAAGGTAACAGTTGCACCAACTTTCTGTGGTTTTCAGAAGATTAAATGAGACAAAGCCCATAAATTGCCTAGCACACTGCCTGGTCTTAGGCAGCAAATGGTGGTGATGATGATTAGATGACAACAGGTCAGTTCTGGAATGGGAGGCCCTCACCCAGCTCCTACAGTGAATGGTACAGTCTGGGCTGCTGCTGCTTACCAAGCCCCAGGTCTTTCCGGCGTAGCCTCCCCTGGGGGTCCATAATTACCAGCTGAATCTACTCTATTTCCAGGACTTTCGACTTATGATAGCTCAGCTGGGCCTGAAGAGCTCTTGAGCATAACTTATTGTACGGTTTGAGTGTTTAGAAAGATGAGCATCTACTGTATGCCTGATCAGTGGTGAGTCTTAAACCCCACCCCTCTCCAACTTCCCTTGGCAGCTTCATCCAATTCTGTGACAACATATGAAACCTGCCAGACCTACGAACGCCCCATTGCCTTCACCTCCAGGTCAAAGAAGCTGTGGATTCAGTTTAAATCCAATGAAGGGAACAGTGCTAGAGGGTTCCAGGTCCCATATGTGACGTATGATGGTAAGCACAGCCTGCAGCACATGGAAAGAGCCTCTCTGCTTTCAACAGAGCCAACTTCGGAGCCAGCTGGCAAACTGCTGACAAGCACACATGCTCAGAAAGGCAGGCAGGATGAGGGGAAAAGACATTGCTGACTCACAAGTGCCAAATTTTAACAGGCATTTGGGGACACTGACAACAGGAGGAAAAGATGTTTTAGAAAATATATTAAAAGTGAGCATAGCTTGGTGAGTAAGAACATGGGCACTGGAGTCAGATTGATCGGCCTGGCTATGATTTCTTCTGTGACTTTGTGTATGCATCTCTAAGCCTCATGTTCTTAATGTGTGAATGAGGATAATCATTAGACTTATTTGAGAGTTCAATGAGAGTTCCTAAAGGACTTGAGGCAGTGCTTGGCACATAGTAATTGTTCAGTAAATATTAACTTCTTATGACTGTGGCTTTTATTAGGTAGAATCCTGAGGTGGGGAAGGACCTGAGTTCTCGTCCTGGCTTTTTCACTGACTCACTGTGGGATCTTGGGCAAGTCAGATGACTTCTGGTTTCATTTTCTTCATGTTAGATGAAGAGTTGGCCCATCTGAGCCCTGGGGCTCTACCTAGCTCTGAGACTTGGTTGGCAAACATGGACTAACAGCATAAAATGAACTGGACGTTTGTCCTGGAGGACCACACAGTCCTGTGGGAGAGGAATCATCTGTTTCTTCATGAGCTTATTTGTTCATCTAGCCAACAAATATTTAATGAGCATCTACTATGTCAGGCATTGGGCTAAGTGCTGGAAACAACATGGTTAGTGACAGAAACACAAAGGTTAGTGACAGAAACACTATATATATATATATATATAGTTATAGATGCTTATAACTTATAATTAAAAAAAGAGTTGTAGCTCCAACTGGGGAAAATTACACATAATGCAGTGTATGCCCACAAGAGTGTGTCTTGCATGTGTCACAGTAGAGAATAGTTGGAAACTGTTATTTTCCCCACAGAGAAGCCCCTGAGGCCTTCACTCAGAGCGTTTTATTCGAACATGTATTTCCAAAAAATTTGATATCTTCTTTTCAAACCCAGAAGAATAGAAATTACATTTAGAAGGTGCACATGAGGCTGCTATAGACGAGCCCTCTGAGAGCTGGAGAACGGTGAGAACTGTAGCCGGGGCTAACACGCATTGAGCATTGCTGACTGCCAGGTACATGCTGAAGTGCCCTTTACGTGGTGCTTTCCTCACAATCACTCCATAAAGTAGACATGATTATTTCCTGATTTTATACATGGGGCCACTCAGGCTTAGAGATTTAAGGAACTGACCTAAGGTCCCAGCATGGCAAGGTTGCAAAGCAGGGTTTGAACCAGGACTTTGGGACTCCAGAGCCTGGGTTCTTAAATGTAACTTTGCTGCATTTCTAATGAGTTGGAGCAAGTAAGGAAACACAGTTCTTAAAAGCAGAAGAAATATATTTTTTAAACAATAGCAGTCTGGAAGCATTTGGTGGAGTGGCAAACAGCTCTCTAGTTTCCTATTACACCAGAATGCAGCACAGCAACAATGATGATGCAGTCCCATCATCAAAAAGAGGAGAGACACTGCCGCAGAGGAATTCAAGATGAAAGAAAATGTATTCTCAAGTTTTATATTCACTAAATAAAAGAAGACACCACACTAATAGAGTACCAATGCTATTGTAAACATATCAAATTAGTAATTGTAACTATTATACCATTACTTTCCATTTACCATCCCTTAACTGAGAGAAACTTTTCAAGAGTTCCTCTCACACAATTTCAATGATGTTCTTATACTGTGTTTGGCTTTGTCACACACGATATGCATACAAAGAGGCATTTTTTCTGTGTCTGGAATTTGGAAAAGATTGTGCTTTGCATATGCTTGATTTGAATGATGACTATAGGAAATAAGCTAGACTTCAAAGGGGGAAGATTGGCATTTGGAGAAGTACAGCGTGCACTGCATTTAATGTGTACATCAGGACAAAAAATATTAATGAGAGCGCACACATAGTTCTCTTCCTCCCCAACCAGCCAAATTCTCCACTCTCCAGCCCCATTCAAATAAAGGAGAGAAGAGTCTTTCTTGGTGGATAGGAAGCTTGATTGTTTTACATAATACAAGGATAAAGAAAAAAGTGGGAGGCAGGGAGGTGGAGAGGGAAAGGAGAGCCTGATGAGCTCAATAGGAAGTGAGTGTAGACAGAGAAGAGAAGACCAAGGACTAAGCCCTGGGACCCTCCTTTGGTAAAAGGTCAGAGAGAAGAAAAGCAAAGAAGCCTCAGAGAAGTAACGGATAAGGTAGGAGGAAAACCAAAGAGCATGGTGTCCTGGAAGCTCAGTGAAGAACTGGATCAAGGAGGAGGAGTGACCAGCCAGGTCAAAAGCTACTGATGCATCAAGGAGGATGAAGACCAAGAACTGGCCATTGGGATTTAGCAATATGGAGGTCATTGCTGGTCTCACCAAGCAGTTTTGGAGGAGTAATGGGGGCCAAAGCTGATTGGACTGGGTTTAAGAGAGAAAGAAAGGGAAAGAATCAGAGACAGTGGGTGCTGACAATTTTTTTAAAGGATTTTTGCTGCAAAAGGGAGCAGATAAGTGAGATGGAAGCTGGAGGCAGAAATGAGGTCAAGGGAGGGATTTTTAAAGTCAGAGACATACAGCATTTTTGTATGCTGGTGGGTGGGGGAGATCAATAGAGAGAAAAATGTATAATGTAGGAAAAAAAGAGCAGAATTACTAGAACAATACTGTTGATTTGGGGAGAGAAGATGGACCTGGCATGCTAAGTGGAGGGATGAGCCTGGACTGGATGCACAGAGGCTCATCTGAGGGAAGAGGGGATGAGGAAGATGGGTGCAGGTGCTGGTATGTGAAGGGAGGTGGTGGAGTCTATGGAAGTTCTCTTCTGACTGTCTTCTCAGTAGCAGAATGGTAAGTGATAGCAGCCACAGAAGGGGCATTTCTCAGAACCTTATCAAAAAGTGAAAGAGCGAGTTTGGAAGTAACAAATCATAAGAATGCAAAACATGTTCTTTATTCCAACAGAGGACTACCAGGAACTCATTGAAGACATAGTTCGAGATGGTAGGCTCTATGCATCTGAGAACCATCAGGAAATACTTAAGGTGAGTGCATGGCTCAGGTGGACATGGCAGTTATCCACAGAGCTTCCCAAGTGCTGTTGGAGAAGGCTTCTCCTCCTGCTGCGTGTTGCCACCTTTCAGACACGGAGCCTGTCCTGGGCCAAGGTCAGTTTTATACCTTCACCAGACTTAATTTTTAAAAAAATCAGGTTGCTGTCTTTAGTGTCGTCAAGTGAATTTGTATTTTTTAATTTGGAAACTTGTGGAGGGGCAGGGAGAAATCTGCTTATAAATCCAAACCAGCAGCAAATAATGTTTTTCTATTAATTACAAATAGTTGAAGATCCTTGGCTCCTTATGTATACTTCAAGCCTAAAATTCACCAAAGTTTAAATACTTACAAATAATTAGCAATAAACACTTGTGGTATCACTAATCCTACAAATTCTCCCAAATCTCAGTGTTGCATTCATCTGGTTGGGAAAAAGAAAACAGGTTTTTTACATATTAAAGTTTTATTTATAAAAGTAATTCATACTTCATATAACTAATTAGGAAAAAAGAACTGGAAAGAAGATAAAAATCAGAGGAAACAATTTTTCAAGTGTTTTTCAGCTAAGCAAGCTACAGCCTAATACTAGGTCATCACAGTTCCATGGGCAAAATGTCAGCATATTTAAATATTTTGGCCCAGTAACAAAAATTCTGTTCTTTTTAGGATAAGAAACTTATCAAGGCTCTGTTTGATGTCCTGGCCCATCCCCAGAACTATTTCAAGTACACAGCCCAGGAGTCCCGAGAGATGTTTCCAAGATCTTTCATCCGATTGCTACGTTCCAAAGTGTCCAGGTTTTTGAGGCCTTACAAATGACTCCGCCCACATGCCACTCAGTACAAATGTTCTGCTATAGGGTTGATGGGACAGAGCTATCTTCCTTCTGCATGTCAGCACAGTCGGATATTGCTGCCTCCAGTATCAGTGACTCATTAGAGTTCAATTTTTATAGATAATACAGATATTTTGGTAAATTGAACTTGGTTTTTCTTTCTCAGCATCGTGGATGTAGACTGAGAATGGCTTTGAGTGGCATCAGCTTCTCACTGCTGTGGGCGGATATCTTGGATACATCAAGGGCTGGCTGAGCTGGACTTTGGTCAGCCTAGGTGAGACTCACCTGTCCTTCTGGGGTCTCACTCCTCCTCAAGGAGTTTGTAGTGGAAAGGAGGCCACAGAATAGGATGCTTATTCTGAAACTTCAGCTTCCTCTAGCCCAGCGCTCTCTAAGGGAGCCCTCTGCACTCGTGTGCAGGCTCTGATCAGGCAGAACAGGCAAGAGGGGAGGGAAGGAGACCCCTGCAGGCTCCCTCCACCCACCTTGAGACCTGGGAGGACTCGGTTTCTCCACAGCCTTCTCCAGCCTGTGTGATACAAGTTTGATCCCAGGAGCTTGAGTTCTAAGCAGTGATCATGAAAAAAAAAAACAACAAAACTTAAAGCAGAAAGAATTAGAAATAAATAGATAAAAACTAAGCACTTCTGGAGACATAATAATGTACATTTATTGCCAGCCCTCCTCGTTGCCAGCTTCCACCCTGCAGCAAACGCACAGTGCCGACTCTCGCACCTTCGGCTGTGCCCTCGGACACTCTGCTGGCCATTGCCTGAGGGATTGGGGAGTTCAGGTGAAATGTAATTTCCTCAGTGGATAATAATCATCAATTGTCATGAAAAGGAGATTTCACCAACCCTGAGTCAGTATTGCCAAGGGTTCTACTCCCCAAGTGGGCTTCCCATCACAAGGGATCTGAGGTCCAGGTGGGTGTGGTGAGGCCAGCCTGTCATGTACACCTTCCTTCCCCACTCTCAAATGTGAGAGATGGACTCTGCTCCATGGACATGAGCAGCCCCTTGAAGGGTGGTCTCATTCTCTAACAGTAACAGCACTGCTGGAAACACCCTCTAAATGCCACACGATCATGTCACTTTGGGTCAGCCCAGCGGGGCCTCACCGTCATTTCTTGAACTTGAATTTTCAGTGTTATTGAATCTTTAAACATTTAAATCCCCAAGCAAAAATCTCATTACAGTGAATAAAAAAGAATCCAATCAAACAAGCCACCATTTCCCTAATGGATGGACTACCTACAACTATAGTGTTATTTCAATAACAGTTCTATGCACAGCCAATTCTCTATACCAAAGTGCTAAAAAAAAAAAGGTTAACAAGCATTTTTGAAGAAAACAAAGACAACTTCATTATGGTTAAACTTGCTTTTCATCTCAGTGTTGCTTTTTTAACCTGTTAATAACATTGATTCTTTAAAAGTCCTAATCAAACTTCTTTATTTGGATGGGCCCTAAATATTCACTTTCAGATTTCTCTTCAAAAGTTTGAACATCATCATTTAAAAAATTGCATTAAAACAAGCACTTGGACTTTGTTATACTGGAGCTTGGCCTATATTTCTGAGTCTGACCATAAGATGAAAATTCGAATGTCACATAACCCGAGTTATTGACTGCACTGATGTGAAGGTGAGGTGAGCTGAGCTGCACCATTCTGTCCAAGCATGTTAGCAACTTTGTGCTCATGACTGTGTGATCCTGTCTTGCTGATTTCACAAGAAAGCTAGGGATGGGAATACTCTGGGGGTTGGAAGGAGGCTACATAAACCCAGTCACTATGGTCCTCCATGGGGCCGCCCCATGCACCAGAGCTGGGTTCCTGGTACACGCACAAGCCACTGACACCCAGGAGGTATAGAGAGGAGCTTCCTCTCTATACCCTCAACTACCTTAAGAGATGCTGTGATCCTGTTGGGGGCTGGCTGTCTGGAGATACTATTTCTACTGGCTACATCAATATTTATCAAACTGCTGCCAGGAACTCTTCTAGGCCCTGGGGATGCAGTGATAAGACAGACAAGGTCCCTGCCCTCATGGAGATTACATTTTAGAGGGAAGAGACAGACAAAGAACAGATACATCAACATGAAAAGTAGCAGCTAGTGGTCACAGCTATGTTGAAAATTAAAATAGGTTACTGTAACAGATGACTGTGTGGCTACTTTAGGATTGGGGATTATAGATGGCCTCTATGTGGAAATTACGTTTCAACTGAAAACTAAATGGCAAGAAGAAACCAGCCTTGGGAAAATTAGGGGGAAGAGCTTTCCAGAGAGAGGAAAATCAAGTGCAAAGGCTGTCAGGTAGGAGCAAGCATTTGTGTATATCGTAGTCTAATGAGAAAGCAGGACGTACAGATGAGGCCAGAGAACCAGACACGGCCAGATTACATCGGGTTTTGGAATCTAGAATGAGGGGTTTGAGTTATTTCTAAATCTGTTGCAAACTTTTGAATGGATTTAGGCAGAGGAGTGAGATAATCTGATTTATGTTTTAAAAGGGTAGCTCTGGCTACCGTGTGAATAGGAAGCAAGCACGAAGGCAGAGAGAGTTTTTCACAGACTACTGCAACAGACCAAGCAGCCATCCAGTTGGCAGATGAAGGTATTGTCTGGATCAGGGTGTTGTAGTGGAGAGGAGAGAAGTAGAAGGAATCTGGATATGTTTTGGGGGACAGTCAACAGAATTTGCTGATGGGGATTGTATGGAAGGGCTGAGGGAAAGAAGGCAGTCAAAGATGACTCCTAGTTGCCTAAGAAACTGGTAGATGGAGAAGACTAGGAGGAGCAGGTTTGGGATATGCAGCAGTTTTAAAACATGTTTGCAAATTCTTTGAGGCTCCTTCCTTGGACAGTTAGGGTCTATGTCGCCTCCCCTTGACTCTGGGCTCTGTGACTGCTTGACCAATATTAACATGGCAGAAGTAATGCTTTACGAGTTTCCAGGCCCTGGGCTTAAGACACTAGCAGCTTCCACTTCCTCTCCTTAGGACATTCACACTTGGAACTCAGTCACCATGTCATGAGGAAGCAAGCCATAGCAGCCTGTGGAGAGGAACCACAGTCCTTCTACCCACTAGCCAGGCTGAACTCCCAGGCGACAGCCAGCAAACCTTGCCAGCTGCATGAGTAAGCCATCTTGGAAAGGGATTCTGCAGCTGCTCCAGCTGATGCTTCATGGAACAGTCCTCACTGAACCATAGAAAACATTAGAGATTTGTGTGCAAAATTAGTGATTATTATTTTAAATGATAGGCTTTGAGGTGACTTCTTATGCAGTAATATAACAGTGAAAAGGGGAGATGGTTAAGAGTTCCATTTTGGCCATTCTAGGTTCCAGGTGCCTATCATATGTCCAACTGGAGGGTTCAAATAGGCAAGTGGTTATACAAAGCCCCAGGAGAGGTCAGGGCTGGAATATAAGTTTTAATGTCACAGAGTAAAGGCATGAGACTTTACCCAGGTTAAGGTCACCTGGGAAACATGTAAATAAAAGAAGACCAGGAAGCTCTTAATTCTGGGATTTCCTGTGTGGACACAGGAACCGGGACTTTGAGGAGCTGCTTATTAAGTAAACAGGAAGAGGTGAGAGCTGAGCTTCCATCTTTACTCCAAGAGAGCTAGTTCTATGGGTGAACTCTGAATGGGCGTGGATCTGTACAGTCCTTCCTTCCAGCTGTAGATATTGTTCTTTAGCCATTTACTGAAGTGCTGCATCTATGGATTTAACCACATCTCCCTTGAATTTCCAATGCTAATAAAAAAGTGTTTGCCTTTTCACACTAACAGACAATTATCTTCACTTCGAAAAATTGCTTCCTCTGAATCATGCCCTGAGCTCTTAAGTGTGTCATCTGTAGGTACTCACTGGATTTAGGTTTGCAGGTGACATTAAAATGTCATGTGGCAACTTGGGAAAGGCAGTGGCTGCACAGCACAGTGCAAGGATTTGCTTACCCTCTGGCAAATCTTTGCAGGAAGATGCACCGGAGCTGTTGCCTGCAGCCGACCACCACAGTTGGTGGGTCTATGTGCTGGAAAACCCAGGGGTCATTCCAGGCCCAGCTGTAATCTTCTCAGCCCTGAAGAGATGCCTCTTACTGTCAGCATCTCTGCTGCTTTTCACACAACAGGATACATCTTGAGAGCCTTACCCAAGTCTACACTACTTCTAGCCAGCATTTGGGAGGCAAATGGACTAGCTGAGGCTGGAGTAAAGCAGTTCCTCATCAAGTTGAGGGAACCTTGTTACATATGGCCCTCTAGCTAGGCAAGCCATCAGCTGCCTATGATTTAAGGTTCCGGGAGAGGCCAGTAGGGGCCCATGCACAGAAACTTAAGAGGCCTTGGTGAGGCTTCATTTCTGTGACCATCTTCCACTCCAGGGGCTTGTGAGCCCAGCTCAGAGGTGTCCTAATATTTGTAGTACCCTGCCTCCTTCTCCCTTCAGGCAGTCTCGATCAGCCCGCAGGGGACAATCCTCAGGGGCCTATTAACACAGCAAGGCTGCTCCTGTGATCCATGTCAGTGATACAGCCATGAAGATCTCACTACTCAGCAGGGAGCGCTTTCCAGAGAACACAGTAGCATCAAAATAGATTTAGAAAATGAAACCACTCTAATATAGGCGGTTTGCCTTAGTTGAATAAAAGGGATACAAATTAAACCCACTTACCGCAGACAATGACAGTAACTCAGTAGTGCTTGGTTTTCAGAGTATCTCGTAAAGGGGGTGCAACTACAGACCTTAGTTACTAATGATTTCTTATTATGTATTTGGTCGTTCATTCATTTATGCAACATATATTTATGGAGAGCCTATTAAGAGCCAGACATTGTAGGAGCCAGGGATACTGCAGGGAGCAAAAGAAGCTCCCTGCTCTTTTGGAATTCGGGTTCCAGTCTGGGGAGACAGACAATAAACAAATGAACATATACTGTAAAGTCAAGTAGTGATGAGTGTTATAAACAAGGAAGGGCTAAAGGACAAAGAATGAGGAGGTGGTGGGAGGGAGCTGCTGTCTTAGATAGGATGAGCTCTTCATTAGAGTCATGAATCCAGGCCCCTCCTAGAGCACTGGCTCCTCAAACCAAGCCTGGCAGCACTGGCCCTGGCAAGCTTCTTTGTCCGCCCATCTAGACCTTGGCATTTCATGTCAAGCCAAGCTGACCAATGCTCCAAGTTGTGAACAAGCCATTTGGGCAGTTCCTCGAACAGGTGCCACCTAGTGGTTGCAATATGGAGTCAACCTGTGTTTCTGTCTCCCATCCCACTGCCTCAGACCTTACATGCCCATAATTCAAGACAAGATCTTACCCAAGGGGCCCTGGGGACTAGGGCTGTGGTTTGACAATTGATTGATTGCATGTTGTTTGACACAGCCCTCGGAGTTTGTTTAGATATTTTCCTTTTTTCTCTGCTTGGCAGAGAAAAACTAGTGACCAAGTCCAAACTCATTGATCTATGTCATTTCAAACTATCAACAACGCTCTGAATCTCATATACACACACAGCATATTCATGTATTCACTGTTATGGTCTAGGCACCTGGGTAGGCTGGATATATAGTCCTGAGTCAGAAGGGAAAAGGAGTTGAAGGAATGATGAGGAAAAAATCTACTCCTCGATTATAATCTTGCATG